CTTGGTGTCCCATCTCCATCCTGGCTCACGACAATCAATTCTCAACACAACAGCCAAAGTAATGCTTGTCAAATATTAAATTAGGTCCAGTCACATCTCTGCGCAAACTCCTCTAATAGTTCCCCGATGCTACTCAAGGTAAGAGTCTGTCACAGTTATGTGGTACAACTGTAATAGACACACCACAGGTGGATGGCTTTAACAACAGACATTTATTTTATCACAGCCTAAAATGCTGTAAGTCTACATTCAGAGTGCCAGCTCTGGAAAAGAGCTTTGTCTCCTTTCAACACGTGTAGGCCCAGCATTTCTTGGTGGTCTCCATGTGTCTCAACAGCAATCTTTTCTTGGATCTAGGAGCCTCACAGTACAGGGACCTCAGATCCAAAGGAAACACTAGACTATTGGTCCTTCTTTCTTGGTGGTATAATTAGTTCCTTATGATTTCTTGCTGCCTATTTAATTTCTTTTATATTTCAAAAGAGTCAACATACAACCTAGACTGCATCCAACCTCATCAACATCATCCAGGTGAGGATTTACAACACATGGGATAATTACATCAGATCAGGCCTGATCGCATCAGAACATACCATAGCAGAGGTAATTACATTACATTAGATCTCACTGTGGGGGATCTGTTTTTGTTGTTAAATGCCGTTCAGTCAGTTCCGACCCAGAGAGACCTGTATAGGGTTTCTGAGGTGTGGTTGGTGAACTTGAACCACTGAATTTGTGGATCAAATTGACTTTGTAGTCCAGCACACTAACCCACAGCACCACACCAGGACTCCTGTGGGAGATTGTTGTTGTTGTTGTTGTTGTTGTTAAGTGCCATCGAATTGGTTCTGACCCATAGCGACTCTGTATAGGGTTTCCAAGGAGCAGCTGGTGAGCTTGAACCACTGACCTTGCAGTTCAAACGATTTTGTAGTCTGGCGCATTAACCCACAGCGCCATCCCAAGATTGTTAGATCTTAATTGTTTAAACCACCGAGAATTCAGGCCCAGTCAAGTCGACACAAAACTGTAATCATCACACAGCCAAAGGCCTTACCATGGTCTACAAAGTCACAGGATCTCCCCAGTTCTTGCCTCCCATTTGCCTTTCTGACCTCATCTCCTATTATTCTACACACACACTTGCCACCCCACACTCCCTGGTTCACTTTTGCTTTTCCCTCTTGCTTGCTTCTCTCCAACCATATTGGCTTTCCTACTTGTCTTTGAACACATGAAGCACACTGCTAACACAGGAACTTGGCAGTTGCTAGATAATACGGTTGCTGTGGGTCTGAATCCACTAGATTGTTGTTGTTAGATGTCATCAAGTCTGTTCCTACTCACAGCGACTCTATGCGCAACACTACTTAGTCCTGTCCCATCTTCACAATTGCTTTTACGCTTTTGCTGTTGCCTCTCACTGCGGCTCAATGCTGTTGCCACTTGCCAATCCATCTTATTGGGGGTCTTCCTCTTTTTTTTACTGACCCTCCACTTTACCAAGTAGGGTGTCCTCCTCCAGGGACTGGCCCCCTCCTGGTAATATGTCCGAAGAATGAGAGACGAAGTCTGGCTATCTTTGCTTCTAAGGAGCATTCTGGCTGTACTTTGCCCAACATAGATTATTTGTTCTTTTGGCATGATACTTTTAATATATTCTTCTCCAACACCATAATACCAATGCATCAATTCTTCTAAGGTCTTCCTTATTCATTGTCCAACTTTCACATGCATATGTGGCTACTGAAAATACCATGGCTTCGGTCAGGGGCACCTTAGTCCTCAAAACTGTTATCTTTGCTTTTGAACACTTTAAGAGGTTTTGTGCAGCAGATTTGCTGATTGCAATATATTGTTAGATTTCTTGACTGCTGCTTTCATGAGTTTTAATTGTGGATCCAAGCAAAATGAAGTTTTTGACAACTTCAATCTTTTCTCCATTGATCATGATGCTATTTATTGGTCCTGTGGTGAGGATCTTTTGTTTCTTTACATTGAGATTCAATCAATATTGAAAGCTGTAGTCTTTGACCTTCATCAGTAAGTATTTTAAGACCTCTCATTTTTCAGCAAGTAAGGTTGTATTATCTGCACATCGCAGGCTGTTAATGAGTCTTCCTACAATCCTGATGCTACGCTCTTCTTCATATAATCCAGCTTCTCTAATTATGTGCTCAATGTACAGATTGAATAAGATGGTGAAAGGATACAACCCTGGTGCACATCTTTCCTGATTTTAAACCATTCAGTATCCCCTTGTTCTGTTAGAACGACTGGCTCTTTGTCTATGTTTCTCCTAAGCACAATAAAATGTTCTGGAATACCATTCTTTGCAATGTTATCCATAGCTTGTCACTATCCAAACACTCAAAAGCCTTTGTGTAGTCAATAAGGCACAGGTTAATATCTTTCTTGTATTCTCTACTTTCAGACGAGATCCACTGGAAGTCAGCAATAGTATCTCTTGTTCCACATCCTTTCTATGAATGTGGTTTGAGTTTCTGGCAGTTACCTGTCAATGTACTGCTGCAGCTACATTAGAATTAATTCAGCAAAATTTTTCTTGCATGTGGTACTAATGATATTGTCCGATTATTTTCTCATTCTGTTGGGTCACCTCTTTGGAATGTGCTCAAATATGGATCTCTTCCAATCAGCTGGCCAATTAGCTAGCTGTCTTCCAAATCTGTTGGCATGAATGCGTGTGCACCCCCAGTGCTGCTTGAGTTTGCTGAAAGATTTCAATTTGTATTCCATCAATTCCCAGAGCCTTGTTTTCATCAATGCTTTCACAGTGCAGCTTGGACTTCTTCCTTCAGTAACACTGGCTCTTGAGCATATGCTACCTGTTGAAATGGTTGAACAGCGACTTTTCTTTTTGGTACAGTGACTCTGCATATACCGGTTATTTGCTTCTGATGCTTCCTGCATCACTCAATATTTGGCCCATAGAATCCTTCAATATTACAAGTTGAGGTTTGAGTTTTTTTCTTCAGTATTTTTTAGCTTGAGAAATGCTGAGTGTGTTCCTTCCTTTTGGTTAGCTCTCTAGCTTACTCCTTCTGCCCATATCTACATGACTATGTTATACATTCCTAAAGCCAAAAAGTTCAATGAATCCAAAACATAAGCATCAGGAAGAAAATCACACCGAGGGACATAATAAGGAAATTATGAAATTGTCAAAACTAGTGGGTTATACAAAATCTTTAAAGCAACCAGAGAAAAAAGGCACACTGTGATCAGAGAAAGAAAAACACAATTAACTAATTTCATGTCAGAAACAATGTAAATGAGAAGACAATGGAGCAGCATCTTTAAAACACTGAAGTAAAAACACTGTCAATCTAGAATTCTATGCCCAATAAAATTAGCTTTTAAAAAATGAAAGCAAAATGCAGACTATTTTCACCACACCAGGCCCAGAAACTGAAAGATTTCATCATTAGCAGATCCACACTGGCAAAGTGTTAAAGAAAATGCTTCAGGCAGAAGGAAAATAACAGATGAAAATATTCATTTACACAAAGAAATGCAAACATGGTAACTACATTGGTAAATGTATGATATTTTCTTACTAGTGAAATCTCTTCAATGGATAATTTACATTTTAAACAAAAAGAATAACATTGTATTGTGTCTTATAAAATAGGCAAAATGTGTGACATGAGCCGCAAGGCCATGAAGGGCAAAATAGCAGTGTCATTACTGTAAGTTTCTTAAACTATCTGTAAAACATGACTTGAGTGTAGACTCTGGTAAAGACTTGAACATGAAGTTTATAGAATCTTATGAATAACATCCCCAAACTGATATCAACAAATAAACATTGTTATAGCTATTGTTGTTAAGTGCCTTCGACTTGGTTCAGAACCACAGAGACCATGTACAGGGTTTTCCAAGGAATGGCTGGTGAGCTTGAACTTCCCACCTTGTGGTTCAAACTGACTTTGCAGTCCAGTTCATTAACCCACAATTAAATATCACTTACAGCAAAATAGATGAATCTCAAAATAAATTACACTGAGAAATAAATGAAAGGGAGACCACACATTACATAATTATGTTAACATATAAAACTCTAGAAGATACAAACTAATCTACAGTGGCAGAAACTAGATCAGTGGTTGCCTATGGAAGGGGTTATGGAGTGGAGACAAGAAAGATTACACAAAGTACAAAAAACCCTTTTGTAGTGATGGATATTTTCATTCTGTGATGGTATGTAGATATGCGTATGTGTTGTGTTCATGTGTAAAAATTAATTATATACTTTGAATAAAATGCAAATTGTTATGTAAATTGTGTTACAATAAAGTGGCTTATAAAACAATTTTAGACATATTTATGTTAAGAACAAATGTGTATGGATTATTTACACTGTTCTGGCTCCACAGAGCACAGATACACCAAAAGATGAAAGCTAGAAATAACAAAATATCTGTAATTTAAAACAATCAGAATGGATCATAAAGACCAATGAACCAAAAACTTAAGACTGAAAGGAACTAAGTGACAAAAAGGTCTTACAGTTTATCACTGTAACTCACAAAGACAGCTTTTTTGCAGTTAGCCACCACTGTATCCCCAGTAGGGAGCTTTGATGGTGCAGTGGTGGTTTGAACCCACCAGTTGCTCTGCTCTCTGGGAAAACCACCTGGCAGTCTGCTTCCGTATGGATTTACAGCCTTGAAAACACTGCAGGACAGTTCTGTCCCAGAGGGTCGGGATGAGTCAGAATCGACTTCAGGAGAGTGGGTGTTCGGTTTTCGTAACCCCAACGCCTAGTACAATACCTGGGGCATCGGAATGCAATAAATATTTGTTTTCCTAACAGGTGAGAGAATTGAAGTGTCTTCAATATCACAAATATAAGAATATATTCCATTTTTTTTAGTTTATTATATAGATATAAATATTCTAACATGTAAAAATATCTAACTTATGTTACCAACTCACAAACAAGCAGAATAATTAATAGAAAGAAAAAAGCTTACCAAATATTTCTCCATTTTTGGCATATTCTGTCACAAGGTACAACATATTTTTGGTCTCCATTACCTGTTGACAAACAATTCCATGTTAGTCTGGAAAGAAAGGATTGTAAGTTACCACAGCATTTAATAGAGCTTCTTTAATTAAAACTATTAACAAAAGAATCAAAGTTATGAACAATTCAGGCATCGATTAAATTGACAAGCCCAGAATATCTGTATGTTAATAGGACTGTGAAAAATGGAGATCCTTGCTCTTCCAAGTATGGGTGATGGGCTAGCAGGAACAGAGCCATGGCCTGTTGGAAATGCAGCATTTCGGGCCTAACCCAAGCCACGACTGACATTTTAGCAAGATCACCAGATGACTATGTTGTTGCTCTTACTGTTGGGTGCCAAGGAGTTGGTTCCCATTCATAGAACAGAACACTGCCCAGTCCTGTACCATCCTCACAATTACTGCTATGTTTGAGCCTACTGCTGTAATCACTGCATCAATCCATGTTATTGAGAGTGCTCCTCTTTTTCAATGACCCTCTACTTCACCAAGCTTGATATCCTTTCTCCAGGAACTGGCCCATCCTAGTAACATGTGCAAAGTATGTGACACGAAGTCTTGTCATCCTTGCTTTACAGAGCATTCTGGCTGTATTTCCAACATAGATTTGTTAGCTTTTCTGGCAGTGCATGGTATATTTAATGTTCGTCACCACATCATAATTCAAGTGTATCAATTCTGCCCCAGTCTTCCTTAGTCACTGTCCAGCTGTCACATGCATATGTTGCTGTTGTTAAGTGCTGTCAAGTCAGTTCCGACCCACACACCTGTAAAGGGTTTCCAAGGAGCGGCTGGTGAGCTTGAACCACCGACCTTGTGGTCCAAACTGACTTTGCAGTTCAGCGCAGTAGCCCACAATGCCACACCTAGACTCCCACATACATATAAGGAGAATGAAAATACCATCGTCTGGGCTGGATGTACCATCCTCATCCTCAAAGTGACAGCTTTTTTTTAAAAAAAAACAAACCACTATAAAGAGGTGTAGTGCAGCAGACTTGCCCAATGCAATAGGTTTCTTGACTTCTTCACTGTTGCTTCCATGGATGGTGATTTTAGGCACATTTAGGTCTGAGAAGGGAGTCCTTGTGGCACTGTAGGATAAACACTGGACTGCTAACCACAAGGTCAGTGATTCAAACCCACCAGCAACTCCATGGGAGAAAGATGAGGATTTCTGCTCCTATTAAAGATTTATATCCTTAGAATAACAGGGTCATTGAGTTGGATGGCTTTTGTTGTTGTTATTAAGTATCGTCTACTCAGTTCCAATTCATAGCAACCCTGTATAGAGTTTCCGAGGAGTGGCTAGTGAGTTTAAACAGCTGACCTTGAGATTCAAACTGACCTTGTGGCCGAGTGCTTATCCTACAGTGCCACACCAGGATTGGAAGGCAGTAGGTTTTAAGTCTGAGAAGCACAAATACACAAACAGGAGTTATGAAGGTTAATCTTTTATACCCCCTCACTGGCTTTTATAGCTTTGTGCTATCATGGTAGACCCTGATTAAGAAAAGAGTCAATAAAAGAGCTTAGTTTATCTGGCCTAGATAATCTGGCACAAAGTGACATTCTCCTGTAACACTTTAATATTGTTACAAAGTACTGTAATTTAAAAATACTGTTGAAAAGTTTTTTGTAGCTCAGCAGTTGTAAACTTTTTTACTAGGTTCAGAAAAAGTGAATTACTGTCACAATTTAAGTTTTCAAATTACACTGAAGAGGACCATTTAGAAAGGAAATAAATTTATAGACTCAAGATGAGAGATTTTTAGACTGTTTCTTCATGATACTCTTCCTCTATCTTTTTACATAGTAAAAAAACCTCTCCTGTGGAGTTGATTCAACTAATGGCAATCCCATGTGTCAGAGTAAAACTGTGCTTCCTAGGGTTTTCAGCGGGTGATTTTTCAGAACTAGATCACTCGCTATTTCTTCCCAAGTGCCTCTGTTGTAGTTGCTGTTAAGCGCCATCGAATCGGTTCCAACTCATAGTGACCCTGGCACAGGATTTCTGAGGCTGTGTAAGTCTTTACGGGAACAGAGAGCCTCATCTTTCTCTCACAGAACAGCTGGTAGTTTGGAACTTCTGACCCTGAGGTTAGCAGTCTGACTCATAACCACTATGCTACCAGAGCTCCTTAATTTAGAACTTAGGAGAGGCTTAAGTGGCACACTGTAATCTTTCATTGTTAGCAGGTATATCATAAGCCTCCACACTTTCTTAACTACATATTTCTAGCAACAAAAAAGTTGTTTAGCTACATATATGTGTTGATGTATGTATGTATATGGAGTCCTGTTGTAGTGTTGTAAGATAAGTACTGGACTGCTAACCACAAGGTCAGTGGTTCAAACTCACCAGTCGACTGACTTAATGGCACTTACCAACAACAATGTATATGTGTAACATATACATATTTATGAAGGCCTGGTGTGGTGCTGTGGTTAACGTGCTGGATTGCAAAGTCAGTTTGATCTGCAGGGTCAGTGGTTCAAGCTCAACAGATGCTCTTCGGAAACCCTAAACAGGACCACTTTGGGTCAGAACTGACTCAACGACACTTAAGAACAACAACCTACGTATATATACACATATATACACATATATATGTATAAATATACTCAGACCCAAATTGCATACATGTACCACTATATTAATATATTATGTTGATTAAAAATGCACAAAGAGACACATTTTTAAAATAAATATAATGAAAAGCTCTAGTACTTTCTTCTTATATCAGGGCATTAACCCAATGGGGTACACACAGTGATGTGCTATAAAACCAGCTCTCTGAGGAGAAACCGCCCCGGAAGAAAGGCCTTGATTTGTAGGCTGGTTTCTGTGGTGTAAAGACTCACTCCCACCATCGGTGATTTTGTGATGCTAAATGGCTCGCAAAGCTACCGAAAATTTTGCAGTTGGTATCATATATGCCAATGCAAGTAGAGTCCAGATCACCACTGGGTGCACATCTTATTTCAGACATCAATTTCATAGGGTAGCATATGAACATTTCAGTGTTTCTAGTTTCCCAGTGTAAAAATTCTATATATTAACAGAATTTTGTATTGCATTATCATTTTGAAAGACTGATTACTCTTTAAAATTTTTAGGATTTCTTCCTTTTAAAAAACAAAAACAAAAACATGGCTTACTCTTTAAATGGTGACTTCTTTTACAATAAATTATATCTTAGTATTTGATTTTTTAAAATCCCAAACAAAAAACAACATGGCTCATTTATTTTACTTAATAAAAAACCCCAAAATATATAAGTTTTGATTTCAGGCTTTACAAAGTTAGTAGTACACAATTTTAGTCTTTAGAGTTCACAAAACATAAATTACATATACTTTTTTTTTTTAAATAAGCAAAACTGCCCGAGTGGTACTATTACCAAAATCCAGCAGGGTATCAAAAATTGACACATGAAAAATTTTAAATAAATAACATACACTCTTAGAGCTATGTTACCATTAAGCTACTCATAGTTTTTGATTCCCTCATGTTATTATCTGAAGATAACATAGTAAAATGGATATATTAGCTTAATAGAAACACATAGCTATCCTTGGTTTAAAGACAGAAGAGAAACCTGCTTCTGTGAAACAAAGAAGCAACACAGGACTGTCATACCTGGTACAGCTTGATGATGTGAGGGTGGTTTAACATTTTCATTATTTGAACTTCTCGGTAGATTTTCTCAAGGTTCACTGCATCCAGCTGAGATTTATCTATTATTTTTATCGCCACCTACATCCCAGAACACAAAAAATATTATGTTAATATTTCTCAATTACGAGTCTTTTTAATGAGTGAAACCTGAGACTTCCCCTGTAAACTCCTGAGATAAGAATGATAGCCAGATCAAATTCAGTGCTCACCCACTTGCTCATTCAATCCACAAGCACTTCTTAAATACATACCAAGTAGACAGTTCTATGGGTAGTTTTTGCTTGGAAATGTCTTTAATGTATGTATTATGAAGAAGACCTCTGCTAAATTCTTTTAATAAGAGACATTTCTCTTTTAGCACAACTGCAATGCTTTTTAATTCCACTTATAAACTGAAGATGTAAATCTCATCAGTTTCAACTAAACTTATCGTCCCACTGCAAAGTATCCACAAACAAAGGACCAGCCAAATAGAAATCAGTCAGCAAGGTCTTTTCTAATGTATTGACATATCATTTTTCTAGAAATGCGAGTGATATGTTCCAAAGAATATAAACATACCTTTCGGGGTAAAATAAGCTGAATATAAAATATTAAAACTCATCTACATGAAAAAATACCAATTGAAATAAAACTTGTTCTAAAAGATCCAAGCACAAAACAAATGTTAGTAATTATACTAAGTTTTAACTGTCTTAAAGATTCTGATTTCAAAAAATGTAGCCAGTTCTATCATAGCTATCCAAGAACTCAAATCATTCCAAGGTTAGTAACCTGAAGGAATTTTACTTGAAGGTAAACAATTAGATACTAGTATATCAATACACTTTCTTTTACCCATGCAACCAACTAAAAAGAACTAAAAAATAAATCAGAAGACAAGATATTTGGTTAGAAAAATAGACACTGATTAAAAAAAAAAATTCAGATAACTGGGAACCCTCAAATTAATTATATTAACTTCTGAAGTGGGAATCACCCAAATTTAATTATAAATTCTGAAGAAACTCTAAAATACACATCACATTCTACCTATCCTAATAAATGAAGAATTCTGAACATAATTTAGCCTGAAGGTTTTGTTTCAGGTATATTTTAATATCAATTATTATATTTGCTACAATAGTTCAATGTTACTAAAAGGTATCCAAGTAAATTGTTGCCGTTGAGTGCCATCGAGGTGGTTTCCACTCACAGCGACCCTGTATATGGTTTCTGAGGAGAAGATGGTGAACTTAGACCCGCCAACCTTGAGGTTCAAACCAGTCTTGCAGTCCAGTGGATTAAGCTGTAGCACCACACCAGGACTCCATCCAAGTAAGTAAGACTTGTGAATTCACTGAATTCCCTCAGAATCTTGTCTGTACAGAGTGAAGTTTTCCTTCTTTCCTTATGGCTGTTCTGTCTTTTGCCATTATATCTTAAAATTCTACTGTAAATGTTTATTTCCTACCTTTCTCTAAATCTAGCTTGATGGCTATGTTTGTTTCCGGGCTTGAATTAATTGTAACCCACAGAAGAACTTAACCTTCCCAAGGGAAATCAGATAACTAAGTATAATGTGCAAAATTAGATTTATATACCTAAGAAGAAAGGGAGCAGTTCCTTTCCTGGGCCATAATACAGTCCATGGGTTTTCAGATAGTGATCTTCATTATGTTTAGTGGTGTTTTAATCATTTCCATATTAAAAGTATCTAGAAAGTAAAGGTGGTAAACTTTGATTGCTAGATAAGCACAATGATTTTACAGTGCTTGCTATTAGGGGCGTTACTGGACCACCTCAAACCAAAATACATGAAAAATGCTCCCCTCAGCCCATGCAGCATATAATAAAATACAAGAAGTTACTCTGAGTCATTCTGGGTAAAATCTGTCATATGAAAAGGTTTAGGGTATACATTAACTTCCTCAATAATCTTTAGGAAGGTTAGCTGGAGTTTAATAAATCTGATGTGTATTTTGAAGAAAATGTCTTGCCCTACAAGTTCTAGAGTGAGATTAAATATCAGAGCCCTCCAACCCCACCAACAACTTTTTATAACAAGTTGGGTTATAATCATCTGAAAGACAGGAAATGAGTTGGAGAGGAAGAAATCATGGTTTTAAAACCACAGTATGATTAAGTGTTAAGAACAGCTTTTATTATATATAATAGTTTGAGCATCATATTTAATGTTAAAGAAAAGGTTTAAATCCTAAATGTGAATTAAAGCAAGGTATTACACTGAGAGATATCTCCTTTCTTACTCATTGGAACCTTGGCCTGAAAACAATGAAAAATAACCAAATTAAATTTGTTAAGTGATAAACATCATGGTTTAGCTTTTCTCAATCTATCCTATAAAAATTTTCAAATGACTAAATATTAAAATTTTCTCTTCAATTTTCTCTTGGGACACAGTCTATACACACATGGGCCACAGACCCATACCTCATCATATTTCTTTACAAATAATCCAAGTTATACTTTTTTTTGCCAACCATGCAAACTCCCTACTCACACTTTCCATAAGTGGGCTATTCCAATTATTTTTTCAATGTTGCTAATGTTAATCAATACTGTTGTTACTGTAAAGTACTGTCGAGTTGATTCTGACCCATAGCGACCCTGTATAGGATTTCTAAGGAGCTGCTGCAGTGCTTGAACTGCCAACCTTGCGGATCAAACTGACTTTGTAGTCTAGCATATTAACCCATAGTGCCAGACCAGGACTTCTTAGTCAACACTGTTGTTGTTGTTGTTGTTAAGTGCTGTCGAGTCGATTCTGACCCATAGTAACCCTGTATACGGTTTCCAAGGAGCAGCTGGTGAGCTTGAATCGCCGGCCTTGCAGTTCAAATGGCTTTGCAATCTGGCGCATTAACCCAAAGTGCCACACCAGTACTCCAAAGAAGGTAATTAAACTATGAAATAAGACCTAACATAACCTAATGGTTTCTGTTAACATGATCTGATAAGGTTGCTATTCAACTGTTGAACGAATGCATTGTTGTTGTTAAGTGCTGTTGAGTCCATTCCAACCCCTAGCGACACTGTATAGTGTTTCTAAGGAGCATCTAGTGAGCTTGAACCACTAACCATGCAGTTTAAACAACTTTTTAGTCTGATGCATTAGACCACAGTGCTATAACCAAGACTCCAAAATCCTAGTTTCCCTGACTGGGAATCGAACCAGGCTGTGGCAGTGAAAGCACCGAATCCTAGCCACTAGACCACCAGAAACAAATGCTCAATTTGGTTATTTTCCAATTACTACAGTCCTAGTGTAGTGCTATAGGATAAGCACTTGACTGCTAGGCTGGTGTGCATTTCAAACCTACCAACTGCTTGGAAATCCGATTACTACAGCTCCTTGGAAATCCTATACAGGGTCGCTATAAGTCAGAACCAACTCGACGACACTTAACAAAGGCAACTACAAAATTCAATTCATGGCTTCTTGACCATGGCTTATGCCTTTATTTACAATTGTGAAAAGTAACATTTTTGGTCTTTTTATACTCATAAGCAGGAGATTAAAGAAAATGAACAGAATGATGATTTTTATCTGTAATATGGGAAAACTGGCTAATGAAGCTCTGGTAGTGTAGTAGTTACAAGTTGGGCTGCTAACCTCAAGGTCAGCGGTTTGAAATTACCAGTGGCTCCGTGGGAGAAAGATGAGGCTTTCTACTCCTGTAAAGATTCACAGCCTCACAGGCAACTTAAGACATTGGCTACCTAAAATGAAGCGGTGATAAATCATTAAGTGACTGGCTTACAAGATTTCAAGAGGGAGTTTAGTTTAATAAGAGTGTGAGGAGAAAGACAGAGTCCCCACTGAATAAGTTTCATCTTGTCTAGATGGGTCTGGTAAAAAGAGATGGGGATAAGATTTTTAGATTCAATAGTGAGTTGAATTACAATTGTGACTGTCACAACTGTAAAGGTAGAAGCTTTCTAACAAAAACGGGGGAATAGTTAATCTTACAAGGAGCTCTGGTAGTGTGGTGGTTACGAGTTGGGCTGCTAACCTCAAGGTCAGCAATTTGAAACTACCAGTTGCTCTGTGGAAGAAAGATGAGGCTTTTTACTCCCGTAAAGATTTACAGCCTTAGAAACTCTATACAGGGTCGCTATGAGTTGGAATCAACTCCACAGCATACAACAACAAGTTAATCTTACAGTCCAGAAACAGAGGACCTAGGACCATCAAGGGAGAAGAGTACAAGTGGAATGTAAGACCCTATCCAGAGAAGCAGTGACATCAGAGATGGAGGCAGAGATTGGGACAGGAAGAGAGGGAGCAGCTAGGGACTCTAGATTCATGAAAAGAGAGGGACTGAGAGCTGGTGGCCAGGAGGCAGGCTTGCAGAATGTGCCCTTTGGTGGTGTAAATTATTATATATGCCTGTTT